TGTGCGCCTAACTCCGAGGAGTTTGACAGTTTGCCTCTCCCGGATCTGCTGGGAGAGGGTCAGTTATCAGGGGACTTAGGGGAAGTCACCCTGGGGGACCGGTTGAGCCCACAGGAGCGGAGCGAGGTACAACAGCTGTTGAAAGAGAAGCAGGATATCTTCTCTAATGTACCTGGTTACACTCCTCTGGCCACTCACAGAGTAGACACCCCAGGGCAACTTCCCATGCGTCAGACCCCGTACCGCATCCCAGAAGCGGTACGGGCGAACATGCGCAAGGAGATCGATGAGATGCTCCAGCTGGGGGTGATTGAGCCCTCTGACAGCCCCTGGGCATCTCCGGTAGTGCTAGTACCAAAGCGGGACGGCACGACCCGGTTTTGTGTAGACTACCGGAGATTGAATGAGAAGACGGTATCTGACGCCTATCCCATGCCCAGGATAGACGAACTCCTGGATCGGATGGCGAGGGGGCACTATCTCACCACGATTGACTTGTGTAAAGGGTATTGGCAAATACCCTTGGCGCAAGACGCCATCCCTAAGTCGGCCTTTGTCACCCCATTCGGCTTGTACCAATTTAAGGTCATGCCGTTTGGGATGAAAAACGCCCCGGCTACTTTTCAGCGGATGGTGGACCGCCTCCTGGATGGGTTCCAAGATTATACCTGCGCCTACCTCGATGATATTGCCATTTTCAGCAATACCTGGCAGGAACACTTGACCCATATAGGAGCGGTCCTAGACAGGATTAGGGCCGCTGGTTTAACGCTGAAACCAGCCAAATGCAGCATAGAAATGGCTGAAGTACAATACCTCGGTCATCGGGTAGGATGCGGCAAGCAGAAGCCGGAACCAGCCAAAGTAGAGGCTGTAGCTCAATGGCCTACCCCTAGGACTAAGACTCAGGTATTAGCGTTCCTAGGAACGGCCGGGTACTACCGGAAATTTGTCCCGAATATAGTGCCCTGGCCAAACCTCTCACGACTTAACCTGTAAAAACCTGCCCCGCCAAGTAACCTGGACCCCGGAGTGTGAGCAGGCATTTCAAAAAAAGGGATTCACTTTTAACCACATTACAATCGGGGTGGTACACTTTGGGGCTTTGCGCCCTTGAAAGGGCGCAAAGCCCCAAAGTGTACCACCTCGATTGTAATGCGGTTAAAAGTGAATCCCTTTTTTTGTTTAACATTTCCCAGGGTGGGAGATGGCTATCTGTAACCCAGCCCCCCCCTGCCTGGGACTAAGGGAAGTGTATTGTGTAGAATGGAGACCCTCAGTGGGGGTCTGTGCATAAAAGAAGCCTGTGTTGAATAAAGATTGTCAGAAGTCAGCCTGGCAGTCAGCCAGTTGTTAAACCTCCAAAATTGAGCGTCGTCCTGTTATTGCATCCCCTGTGTCTGCTGTTCCAGCTTGCAGGGGATGCAACGGGGAGAAGTCCATGTAAGGACTAAGAGCCCCCAGGGCTGAGTGCCGTCTCTGTCTGGGAGCACATAGAGCTAAGTCCCCTAAGCATGCAAGAGTTCCTAATCGGCTAAAGGAAGGGATCTAACTGGAGGTAACCGGACAGTTTACCAGGAAGAGGTCCTGTTACAGATCTCATGAAAAAAATAAACAAAAAAACATAGGGTAATACAGTCCAAATGATTATATAAATAGGGAAAGGGGGAGATAATAAAACTCACAAGTGTAGAGCAGAGAAGCCTGCTCTAACTGTAAAGGCTCCTCAATGTGTCCAGAGACGACCGTGGTGTAATAAAATAGTTTATTCAGCTTATCTTTAAAACAACACACAGCCAGGCAGGTAAGACCTCTTGTTGCACATAGCTAGTGTAGCGGAACCCGCCTCGCCAATGGACCTTGGAGAGGCCTGGCTGCCCGCCTCCTACCTGCTGACTATGGCCCCTGGTAAATTTGTACTTTTGAATGCAATATTTGGGCATGTGGTATTTTATTTTGCTGCTACTGGCTCTTTAAGGGCCATCCGTGGACATATTATGACTCTTAGGAACAATGCCCTTTAAGACTGTGTAGCAGATTGCATTCAGGCGGTCTTTGACATTATTTGTTCGGTAAATGGTGTTATGTGTATGCAGCATTCGACTGATTGTTCAATAGAATCACTCCATTCATTACATTGAGTGAAACTACCGAAAAACCAGACCACCACGGAATAAGTGTGCCTCCAATTACCGTTTGCAACAATGTTGCAAACGGGTAATTGGCAATCTATGTAATGTGTGGTTTTGTCCTCTGGGTGGCCGCCATTCGTGAAACGAACACGTGGTGGTGGCCATCTTAAACTCCCGAACAGCGGTGTTTTGCCGTCGAGTGTCTGGAACTAAAATCGGACACTCGACTAGGCAAACACTGCTGAGACCTCCAGACTTCCAGCAATTCATGCAGAAACTACTGATTTGCGCGCGTTCAGTAGAGAGGATCCCACGAACAAGGGGATTCATGCGAATCCTCCCCAAGCTCCATAACCCAGTTAATTTGTGTGTTTCATTGCCTTTTCTGTGACCGACCGCAGGGCCAAAATACATGTGTGGCAAAACCGGCCTCGCCACGTGTCCTTGGAGGGGGCTGCTTGCCCGCCTCTTGCCTTTGGACTATGGACCAGACTTTATGTGAATGTGTTAACCCAGATAGCTATGCCATGGAGCCCATTTGTGTAGTTAAAGACTTAGGCTCCATGGCAATTGAACTGTGTGAATAGGATCTGAGCGCTATTTGGTAGTTTTGTGCGCTCAGATCCCAGCTATCTGGGGATATGTGACATGTCTGTGTTTTATGTATAAAATGTGACTTTGTGTATTTTATAATATTTTAATGCTTTGTGCTCACCATGTGCATAATGGAGTCTTGTGTCTGTCCTGGGAGATAATTGAATTACTTCTCATTATCTCCAGGATAGAAGACTCTGAAACTGGTTTGGGCCGGAAAGCCATGCTTCATTTAGTCACAAAGGACTTTCCCTTAACTTTTGAACCCCTGGTCTGATTCGTGCCATTTTTTAATATGTTGTTCCCCTGAATGGATTGATTATGAAAATGTATGTTTTATGTTTGTGACATGTATATTTTAGAAGTTATAAATATTGTGTAAAAACTGTATTCCTCTGCCGGTGATAATGAGATTACCCATTGTGTTCAGTAATCATATCATAGGCAGAGGGGAGGATTTTGTGTGGGAGTGTCTGGGTGTATTGTACGGATTGATTGGTTGTTTTGTAACGCCCTGTGGGCTGTACTATGTTTGTGGATTGGGAATAAAAGAGACTGTATGTGACAGTACAGGGAGTTCCTGTTTAACCCTCAAAGTGAAGTGTCGTCTCATTATTGGGTTAAGGATTTATTGTATGCTGTTCCAGTTTGACTGCTAGAAGAGTAAACCTATTCGTTTGGTTCCTATTCAACTGTCTACAGCATTCATATGCTTGAGAGGATTCATATGCTTTTCCGGTTCGGTGGTTGTGGTGTCTGCTGCAGTGCTTGGAGTCCTCAGGAAGCGCTAGGAGCATCCTTTAACGGAGGTACTCAGTCGGGGTGCCAGGTGATCCGTTACAACATGGAACTATTTTCGGATACTTTACCCATGCGGTCGGTCAAATCTTTACCTGCCCATAACTCCCGAACCCCTGGTCGGATCTGGGTGATTTTTGGATATGTTCCTCACCCAGATCAGGGCTACCAGGGGGTGCCATATTAAAAGGTGTACCCCCCATATTTGGGGTACATCCAAGAATTGGGGAAAAGTGTGTACTGGATAATTATGTTAAGTGTTAATCTAACGGGAGGAGATGTGGGGGAGGTAACATCTATGGGATTGGCTGTTGTAATAATTATTGTAAATCCCTCCCTTGCATGGGAGAATGTCTTAAAAGGAGGTGGTGTAAATAAATCTTCAGTTCTGCTTGACCTCAAAACTAAGTGTCGTCTCGTTATTGGGGGAATTGGATTGCATGCTTTTCCTGTTCAGCCGCTTACAGCATTCATATGTTTCTCCGGTTCAGTAGTTGTGGTGTCTGCTGCAGTGCGTGTAGTCCTCAGGAAGCGCTAGGAGCATCCTTTAACAGAGGTACCCAGTCGGGGTGCCAGGTGATCCGTTACAGCTAGTCCTCACAGAGCTATGCTGGGAAAGCTGGTCTGTTGCTGGCTTCTACGAAACTCCGAAGACTGGGTACTGTGTACTATGCTCTTCCTGGAGGTAGGGTTGCCGACGTAATGATTTGAAGGCACGATGATGCGTTTCGCCGATGACTTGGCTTCCTCAGGATCGCTTGAACGCTAGTATAATGGAGTGTCAATCCACACGCTGCCAGTTTAAAGTTTTAAACACTTTAAGGGATGGAAAAGGCCGATTTATACTGATTTCAGATACGCTGGGTACCAGTAAGCTACATTTGCCTAATATATATGCCACGGACATTTGACACAGGCTTTTGGGACAAGATTGGTCCAGTTATTAATCCTATACAGACAGATTTTCTTTTGATAGGCGGTGACTGCAATGCTGTCTCATGCCCGGTACAGTACAGTAAACTGTCAAATTAAACCGTAATACTTTTATGGAGGGAAGCAAAAAGGAGCTCTGCAGAGTTATCACAATACCAATGCATACATTTGTACACTTGACTGCTACTGTCATAGTTTATATTTATTGTGTCAACATGAGAAATGCTTTGCTATTATATGAGACACAGGATGGTAAACAAAATTTGACTTATAATTTTCGAATGTCTCACATTTACAATAAAAGTAAATTTATGTCATTGTTATAAACCATAGAAGCATTATAACATCTTAGAAAGTTCTCTTCTGTGTGAGTTCTTAATAGAAGAACAAGCTTTGCTTTAGTTATAAAACATTTCTCCCATTCACAACACTTTCTCTCCTGTGTGAATTCTCTGATGACGAACAAGATTTGATTTAGTTACAAAACATTTCCCACATTCAAAGCATGAGAAAGGTTTCACTCCTGTGTGAGTTATTACATGCCTATTAAGCTCTACTTTAGTTCTAAAACATGCGCTACATTCAGGACATGAGAACGGTTTCTCTCCTGTGTGAGTTCTCTGATGAACAACAAGCGTTGATTTATTGATATAACGTTTGCCACATTCAGTACACAAGAAGGGTTTATCTCCTGTGTGAGTTCTCTGATGACGAACAAGATTTGATTTAGTTACAAAACATTTGCCACATTCGGAACACGAGAAAGGTTTCTCTCCTGTGTGAGTTATTACATGCATATTAAGCTCTAATTTAATTCTAAAACTTTTGCTACATTCAGGACATGAGAACGGTTTCTCTCCTGTGTGAGTTCTCTGATGAACAACAAGTGTTGATTTATTAATATAACGTTTGCCACATTCAGTACACGAGAAGGGTTTATCTCCTGTGTGAGTTCTCTGATGACAAACAAGATTTGATTTAGTTACAAAACATTTGCCACATTCAGAACACGAGAAAGGTTTCTCTCCTGTGTGCGTTCTTATATGCACATTAAGCAGTGCTTTAGTTCCAAGACGTTTGCCACATTCAGTACACGAGAAGGGTTTATCTCCTGTGTGAGTTCTCTGATGACAAACAAGATTTCATTTAGTTACAAAACATTTGCCACATTCGGAACACGTGAAAGGTTTCTCTCCTGTGTGAATTCGCTGATGACAAACAAGATTTGATTTAGATACAAAACATTTGCCGCAATTAGAACATGAGAAAGAAATCTGTTCTGTGTGAATTCTTTGATGTCTAATAAAATGGTGTTTACAGACAAAACATTTTAAACATTCAGAACACTGGAACCATTTTGGGTTTCTGTCTACTATCTGCTTTGTAGTTATATATGACTCTGAGAGATTCCTTAATTTTTTAGAGTTGCAATCTTCGGTCCTTTTACTAAACGATTTCTTCATTGTCTTGCTTAATGTATTTCTGTTCTTGTCACGTCCTTCAGAATAACTTCTGCTGACAAAAACACCTGGAAGAAATATACAAGGAGTTAAAGGAAATCTGTGATTATAAATTATTGTTTTTCATACTTAGAAAGAGTGACAATACTTTCATAAAAGAAGACCATGAAGTTTGATGTGGATTGAAAATTACCTTATAAAATATTGTGTGCTTTTACGCCTTCACTATTAAAATTGTGTATACTCCCCTAGGGATGCACCCAAATGCAAATTCTGGGGCGAAACGAAAATTCAGGATGCCCTTGGCCGAAAACCAAAATTTACTTTTTTCCCCCCAAATGATTTTTTTAAAATAAAGGCTTTTTTCCTATATTTTATTAATATCAGACTTTTTAATGAATTTAATTAATCTAATATGAAAAACTTCCCTTCTCCTTTAGTGGTCCCCCCCCCGCTTAATGTTCCTCTCTGTCCCCCCCCTCCAGTGTTGTTTCACCCCCTCCCCCGTCCCAAGTGCAGTATTCTTGACAGGGTTTGCCTATTTCGGCCGAAAATTTCGGTGCATTCCTAATACTCCCCTTTACTTTAATTTAAACCTAACTTATCTATAATTATTACAGATTACACATACTTTGTATTTTTCGTATTTTATGGACACATGCAGCACATAATTTCACTATTAGACCCTTCCGCTGAAAAGCTGTGCCAGGTATCTACTAACTTTTCTATATCATTATTGGTTTTTACCGCTTTCACTGGAAGAATGTGTCATATCACCCTTCTTATCGCCTCTATCACTTTTTACTCGAAGGTTGTGATAGTCAAATGGCAGTAGATATCTGAATTGAACAGTTGGTAGAAATGTACTCGGAGCTAAATAACATTTGTCTATAAATTAGTTTGTTTTGTAAAAGACAACCTGTTTCACGTAATTTATGTTTGAACATGTTCATGCTAATTGTATTATGTTGGAAAAACTAAACGTCCACTCCACATAAGGATTAATGAACATGTGAGAAACATCAAAAAAGGGTATTATTATTGGTATTTATATACCGCCAACTAATTCTGCATCGCTTTACAATATTATGAATGGGGGAAATTTTACAATGATTGACACAATTACATAGGAACAATTGGTAGATGAGGACCCAGCTCAAACGAGCTTACAGTCTAGAGGAGGTGTGGTACAAAAACACAACAGGGCAGCAAGGGTGACAACTACCAAACAAGGTGGAAAAGTAGCAGAACTGGAGGGGAGAGGGAAGTGTGGCTCTTCCGGAGAGCAAAAGACAGAATATGGATAAATATTGCTAAGTTACTCTGGGAGTCCATAAAAATGTATGAACAGATGTGTTTTGAGGGATTTCTTAAACAGTTGAAGACTAGGGGAGAGTCTCATTGGGGGGTAGGCAGGCTGTTCCAAAGGAAGGGTGATACGCGCGAAAAGTCCTGCAAGTGCGAGTTAGCAGTAAGGGTGCTTGCAGGGGTCAAGAGAAGGTCACCGGCAGAGCGGAGAGACTGAGAAGCATATCTATGAATCAGTGAAGAAATGTAAAAGGGGCAATGATGGATTAGGGCAAATCAACCCCCCCACCCCCAATACCTCACAGTCTGTCCCTCACCCCCCCAATACCTCACAGTCTGTCCCTCACCCCCCAATACCTCACAGTCTGTCCCTCACCCCCAATACCTCTGTCCCTCACCCCCAATACCTCACAGTCTGTCCTCACCCCCAATACCTCTCTGTCCCTCACCCCCAATACCTCACAGTCTGTCCCTCACCCCCAATACCTCACAGTCTGTCCCTCACCCCCATACCTCACAGTCTGTCCCTCACCCCCAATACCTCACAGTCTGTCCCTCCCCCCCAATACCTCACAGTCTGTCCATCACCCCCCCAATACCTCACAGTCTGTCCCTCACCCCCCAATACCTCACAGTCTGTCCCTCACCCCCCCAATACCTCACAGTCTGTCCCTCACCCCCTCAATACCTCACAGTCTGTCCCTCACCCCCAATACCTCACAGTCTGTCCCTCCCCTCTCACAGTCTGTCCCTCACCCACCCAATACCTCAGTCTGTCCTCACCCCCCCAATACCTCACAGTCTGTCCCTCAACCTCCCAATACTCACTGTCAGTCCTCACCCCCCAATACCTCACAGTCTGTCCTCACCAATACCCACCTCACCCCCTCAATCCCCAATACCTCAGTCCCTCACCCCCCCTCACAGTCTGTCCTCATACCTCACAGTCTTTCCCTCAGAATTGAAGAATTTAACAATTTATGGACAAACTGAATTAGTAAGAGACATTTTATGGTGCAATCTGACAATTCATCAATTCTTTAATAAAACCACAAGGTTCAGTTTCATTAATTCTTTGAGTGGCACAGAATTAAAACAATGCTAACAATTCATTGGGTAGTAAGTTAAAGGATCACTATTGTGCCAGGAAAACATACTCGTTTTCCTGGCACTATAGTGCCCTGAGGGTGCCCCCCAGTTCTGGGGAGAGGAAGGGGTTAAAAGTTACCTTTTTTCTAGCGCCGGGCAGGGAGCTCTCCTCCTCCTCTCCTCCCCTTCGGCTGAATGCGCACGCGCGGCAAGAGCTGCACTCGCATTCAGCCGGTCTCATAGGAAAGCATTTACAATGCTTTCCTATGGACGCTTGCGTCTTCTCACTGTGATTTTCACAGTGAGAATCACGCAAGCGCCTCTAGCGGCTGTCAATGAGACAGCCACTAGAGGATTTGGAGGTTGGATTAACCCATTTTTAAACATAGCAGTTTTTCTGAAACTGCTATGTTTATAGAAGAAAGGGTTAATCCTAGAAGGACCTGGCACCCAGACCACTTCATTAAGCTGAAGTGGTCTGGGTGCCTAAAGTGGTCCTTTAACATCCAGACTTATACCACATGTTGTTTTAACAAAAGAAGTTGTTTATTAAAATCAATGCATTCCATTAAAAAAGGAACATTTGCTTCATACTTACCGTAATTTTCTTTTTCTGATAATTATTCATGGCAGCATTTACTCATGGGTTAGCCCCTCCCCTTACAGCAGAAAGGACAGGAAATAGAACTCTGAAACTGGTATAAATAGATCCTCCCCCTTCCCATCAGGCAGTCCTAGTAACTAGCTTCACATCTTATAGTATATGGGTGGGAACGTAATGCTGCCATGAATAATGATCAGAAAAAGAAAATTACGGTAAGTATGAAGCAAATTTTCCATTTTCCTGACCATTATTCATGGCAGCATTTACTCATGGGGAATACCCAAGCAGTATATATCGAGGGAGGAACAGAGTTCAAAAACAGCCAATAGCTATAAAACCATTATTGAGCTGCATAAACCTTAGAAGACTCTAAAAAAGCCAAACAAGACATCAATAGGATGTTGTCATAGATTCTGCTCAGACAAGTTAATTAACCTAAAGGCTGCAAGGTCAGCAACCTCCTGGCATTCAATATCTGAAATATCCTCAATAAATATAGTCAGATAGGAATTAAGGCCATGATAGCATAAGTTAGAGAAGGATAATGCCATTTTGATATAAAATTTAAAACCAAATTGATGACCTCATTAGATCAGAACCTTGACAAAAAGGCATAACAGAAGGTTGGATGAGAACGGACACACCATGCTATTAAACATGGCGAAAATTACACTGAGAATCCTACAACTCTCTGGATGTAATTATTAATGACGATTCACACTGCTTCCTCTTGCCTTGTGAACTACTTACCTGTGGATACAGGAAATCAATCAATACCTGCCTGTCAGGAAGAGGCAGAGCCTAGTAGAGAAATAAGTGTTATTAAAACACTGCAATAATGAATATATACACATATATATTGCAAAAATCAGACTCACAAGAATACCTCACACCGTGGATGAATTAATACAATAATGATCAGGCACAGGAGAGGTATAAACCAATAACATTACTAGGCAAGGGCAAGAAGAGTCATATACAGATTAGTTAAAGAAAGAAAAAAGAGACATCGGTATGAACCGTGGAATTTGTGGAAACTCCTAAATTATAAGTAGGACAATCACGTCAGTACCTACATTCAAAGAAACATTGTAAATAGTACAGATTATGCCAAACAGTATAATCAAATTTATTAGAGACCGTTGTGTAACATAAGTAGGAGATATGTAATCGGCAGGATACTGATGAGAAGATGGTAACCAGAGGCACATGATCCATTGTGGCAACCGACACATAATAAGCAGGATAGTAGAAGATATTCAGTTATCCTTATGAGAACAAACAACCGCATACTTACTCTTACCTTATCTTCAGATAGCGAAGAAGTACTATGGCAGAGCTTATGGCGATAATAAGCAGTTTGTATTATTCTTACCTTATCTTCAGATAGCGAAGAAGTACTATGGCAGAGCTTATGGCGATAATAAGCAGTTTGTATTATCTGCAAGATATCGACACCAATACAAGTATATAATCCATAAGTATTAAATCATTGCAATGTTAGGAGTGACCATAACTTATACCGATCTAGGTACAGAGACCATGAAAAACATATCAGTCAAATGTTTGTCATCAACAAGCTGCATTACATTATATTATGTAGGATGAATCAACCACTTAAAGCCACACCTCGGTTGCAAATTCCAGATATAAGGACCACTAGAAGAATCTCCATGAATATCAGAAGAGAGGACCGTAATGGAGTTACCTGTTAAGGGATTTCCTCGCTTGTTCTGATAGCAGGTGAATTTTACTTGAAATAGTAAACCTGGTAGAACTGCCTGGGGACTAGAAAGACCTTCCAGTGTCAATTAAAATACTTGCAATACTAAGTATCAAAAACTTACCTGGATCATATGAGCATAAAAGAATACATTTAATTGCAGAAAGGAAATTATAATATTCCCTTTCACCACAAGGGTATCTTGTCAGAAATTTCTGAACATTAATTTCTTAAGAACCAAAAGCATGCTACCCCTGACATATCCTAAAGGGATTGCCAAACTCTCAGGTCCCCAAGGGATAAAAGAGAATACTGCATATAAAAAATTAGTACATTCTCCAAATTATAAAGATTATGCTTTAAGGAAAGGTACGCAGTTCTAAAGAATATGTTAAACCAATTCCAGAGAACTGAGTTAAAAACTTAATAAAAAGCACAAACCAGACCAGAAGTAGTGAATTCTTCAGAGTAGAAGTTTGCGGAAAAATAAAATGATACTAAAGTTAAGACCAGGAGAGAAACAAGCCAATATGAACAGCTTTTTAAATCAGGTAATAGCTTCAGAGTTACCTACTTATGAGAATGATTAATAGCCCAATTTGTGCTCCTGCAACCAGCATGATCTTCTAAGCTGTGCATCAGTAACAGCATATATCTGAAGATAAAACACTGCCACCAAAACATTCCTTATCTTGATAAGAGAGGAGAGGATACTTGGCAATAGAAAAACTTCTCAGAAATGGTCTCAACTTCCATATAGAGCATGTTGAGACATATACTGAGGCTATGTTTTCAGAGCAAATAAAGAACACAAACTGAGCCGAGACTTCCGATCATCGTAGACAATATAGTGTGTACATATACTGAGGCTGTGTCCTCATAGTAACTCATACACAGAGCCTATAGTGTGTACAAATACTGAGGCTGTGTCCTCATAGTAACTCATACACAGAGCATAAAGCGCATACATAAACTGAGGCTGTGTCCTCATAATAACTCATACATAGAGCATATAGTGGGTACATATACTGAGGCTGTGTCCTCACAGTAACTCATACATAGAGCATATAGTGGGTACATATACTGAGGCTGTGTCCTCATAGTAACTCATACACAGAGCCTATAGTGTGTACAAATACTGAGGCTGTGTCCTCATAGTAACTCATACACAGAGCATAAAGCGCATACATAAACTGAGGCTGTGTCCTCACAGTAACTCATACATAGAGCATATAGTGGATACATAAACTGAGGCTGTGTCCTCATAATAACTCATACATAGAGCATATAGTGGGTACATATACTGAGGCTGTGTCCTCACAGTAACTCATACATAGAGCATATAGTGGGTACATATAATGAGGCCGTGTCCTCACAGTAACTCATACATAGAGCATATAGTGGGTACATATACTGAGGCTGTGTCCTTACAGTAACTCATACATAGAGCATATAGTGGGTACATATACTGAGGCTGTGTCCTCATAGTAACTCATACACAGAGCCTATAGTGGGTACATATACTGAGGCTGTGTCCTCATAGTAACTCATACATAGAGCATATAGTGGGTACATATACTGAGGCTGTGTCCTCACAGTAACTCATACATAGAGCATATAGTGGGTACATATACTGAGGCTGTGTCCTCACAGTAACTCATACATAGAGCATATAGTGGGTACATATACTGAGGCTGTGTCCTCACAGTAACTCATACATAGAGCATATAGTGGGTACATATACTGAGGCTGTGTCCTCATAGTAACTCATACATAGAGCATATAGTGGGTACATATACTGAGGCCGTGTCCTCATAGTAACTCATACATAGAGCATATAGTGGGTACATATACTGAGGCTGTGTCCTCACAGTAA